AAAAAAAAATTAGCTTGACAACAAAAGTTAGCGCATTAATGATGTGTAGATTTGCAAACTGTTGAATCTGAAGTATGGAGCATCTCCTCAATTCTAAAGTTTTAGAAATCTGTAAACTGAGACGTAGAGAATTAAATAACTTGATCAAGATGGCTCGTCCAGAAGGAATGTCTGGCCATTCACTTCCCCCAAGCCTAGTGAAAGCAGGTACTTGCCCATGACTCACCCACCAGGAACTGCTGCAGACCCTGTAGAGGTACAGATGGTCCCCAACCTACGATGATTCGATTTAATGATTTTTCCACTTTACGATGGTGCAACAGTGACACACATTCGATGCAAATCAAACTGTGACTTTTGAATTTTGACCTTTTCCCAGCCTACTGATGTGAGGCTTGACTCTCATGATGCTAGGCATTGGCACCGGCCACAGCCCCCAGTCAGCCATGCAATCATGAGGGTCAACAACCCAGACACTGGCAACCACTCTGTGGTTCACTTTCAGTACATTACATGAGATATTTATTAGAAAACAGACTTTGTGTGAGATGATTTTGTCCAACTGTAGGCTTATATAAGTGCTCAGAGTATGTTTGAGGTAGGAGAGGCTAAGCTATGATGTTCAGTAAGTCAGGTGTATTAAGTAAATTTTCAACTTACCATATTTTCAACTTACCATGGAGTTATTGAAACATAAGCTCATTGTAAGTCCTGGAAAATCTGTATATTCCTTACATCCTCTCAAGAACATCATGAGTTTAATTTGTTATTATGGTCATTTAAATTATGATGCACAAGGGGTTCCTGGGTGGCTGTCACTTGAGTGTCTGACTCTCGATTTTCGCTCTGGTCATGAGATTGAGCCCTTGCATCAGGCTCCACGCTGATTCTCTTCCTGTCTCTCTGCCCCTCGCCTGCTTGTGCTCTCTCTCTCTCTAATAAATAAATATGCACAGGACATTGAGTAATTTTTTATATTTATTTTTTGAAAAAATGTCTAATGTTTATTTGTTTTTGAGAGAGAGAGAGAGTGTGAGCAAGTGAGGGGCAGAGAGAGAGGGAGACACAGAATCCGAAGCAGGTTCCAGGCTCTGAGCTGTCAGCACAGAGCCCAAAGGCGGAGCTCGAACCCGTGCACCATGGGATCATGACCTGAGCCGAAGTTGGAGGTTTAACAGACTGACCCACCCACAGGCCCCGATTTTTTATATTTAAATGAATATTAGTTGACAAGCCATGCTTTGAACCAACTTTTGAACCCACACTGAATGGTTCCTAAGATGACAGTCTAAAATGTATTGAAATGAAATTGAATTGAACTCAACTTACGATTGCTCATTGTCTCTACTGGTCCAAAATCAGTTTGTGGTTTCCCACTGAAGTGTCTGAGAGACACGTGCATGGTGCACATGGTGGGCTGCCTGGAGCCTGAGGAGCTTGGATAGTCAGTACTCCTCCAGAGGAAGAGTACTATAAATCTGTTCACTTAAACTTGAAGCCTTGGAAGGGCATCCCTCTTCTGCTAACTACTCACATCTTCCTCCTACACTTTGACAATTTCCCGTACAATAGGGGAATTACTTGCCAACATCAGACATTGTGGACATTGTTTGCCAACCTTAACACACGTACCTACTTGGAGCCTGTACTACATTCTATGAGCAATAATAAAGGCTTTATATGTGTGCATACAGGAGGTAGTATTATTATGCCTCCTTCACCATTGTGGAGCGTGAGGATTTGAGAAGTTATGCGATGCTCTAAAATACACAGCTAGCATGGGAAAGAGTCAAGATTCGAGAGTTAAATCCACTTTCTGTGTAATCAAAAGGCTCTGCTTTTAGCCATTCGCTGTCAACATCTGTGGTTGTACTGCTGACGATAAGCTTGAAATTATAGGGGAAAGTTATAGGGAAATTATCGGGGATCTTGTTAATTCATATGAGGGATTTTGTAGTTTAAAGGTTATTTCACTCTTGCTCTTGCTTGTTTGTGTCCAATGAGAGGCCAGCATTGAGTGGCCAGGATGAAATCACCACTTGATCAATTAGAGAATCATCTGTGGCTGTTTTGTTCATATCTTTAGCAAAGCAGGACAATGTTCCTTAAGTATCAATAAACTCCCTTCTGAAGGAAATTTTGACATGTATACGCCAGTCTAACCTCC